GATCTCTCTGTGTGTTTGTATGGAGCTGTGCTGTCTTGGTGGTCTAGATTTTCCTATTGGTCACTTAGTGTTGTCTTGATCTCTCTGTGTGTTTGTATGGAGCTGTGCTGTCTTGGTGGTCTAGATTTTTCTATTGGTCACTTAGTGTTGTCCTGTTCTCTGTGTGTGTTTGTATGGAGCTGTGCTGTCTTGGTGGTCTAGATTTTTCTATTGGTCACTTAGTGTTGTCCTGTTCTCTTTGTGTGTGTGTTCGTATTGAGCTACGCTGTCTTGGTGGTTTAGATTTCCTATTGGTCACTTAGTGTTGTCCTGTTCTCTGTGTGTGTGTTTGTATTGAGCTACGCTGTCTTGGTGGTTTAGATTTCCTATTCTATTGTTCTTTATTTGTGTTTGTATGGAGCTGTGCTGTCATGGTCATTTGGTTGTTCGTATTGGTCACTCCCTGTTGTCTTTTTCTCTCTGTGTTTGTATGGAGCGGTGCTTGCATGGTCATCTTGCTGTTCCTGTTGTCTTGGTCTCTCTGTATGTGTTTGTATGGAGCTGTGCTTCTTTGGTTGTCTGGCTATTCCTATTGGTCACTTCTTGTTATCTTATTCTCTCTGTGTTTGTATGGAGCTGTGTTTTATTGGTCATCTTGCTGTTCATATTGGTGAATTCCTTGTTATCTTGTTCTGTTTGTATGGAGTTGTGCTGTCTTGGTGATCTAGATTTTCCTATTGGTCACTTCTTGTTTTCTTATTCTCTCTGTGTTTATGGAGCTGTGGTTTCTTGGTCATCTGGCTGTTCCTATTGGTCACTTCCCGCTATCTTGTTCTCCCTCTCTCTATCTATGTCTACGTGACATCAAATTCTCCCTATGTTAAAATAAGAATCACAAACGGTCCATGTAGCTGTCCGCGGAAGATTGGCCTGAGAACAAGCTACTGCTCCCTGTGGATGCTCCCGCTGTATGAACGAATGCCTCTAGAAAGCCATCTTCCATGTCAAACGTCTCCTCTTTCTGTGGCAGTACCACCACCTACTACCATTGCTGATGTCACAGAACTTCCTTCCAGTCACACAGCGATGACAGATAAGGTGGTCAACTCAATAGCGGGCTCCCTCGTGGGGTCCGTGATCAGACCTTCCTGGGTCGTGCTAGACTGCAACTGGAGCGTTGTTGCCATCGCACGTCTCACACTCAACCTGTTTGAGGAAATGCAGGGGCATCAAATCGTCCGCAGACGACCTAGGTACCGATCAGGGTGACGTTCGGTGTAGAACAACCACCACATTGCGATCACCTGAATCTCAGTCCTTGATTGGGAGATTTGTCGATTCATTTCGACATTTTTTTAAGAAAAGAAAAAGGTGGTCAACTCGCCTCTTTCTCCCACCCGAACCGCAAGAAGTTCTCAAGAGCCTCCATCAACGCAGAATCGATGTACATTGGCTCAGAAACAGATGGATGTTTTCATGAAGAAAGAAATGACATCAAATGAAAGACTCGAGATCAACCCTATTAAACGCTGAAAAGTTAAGCATAGAGTTCACAATACGATGGAGAGTACAAAAAAAAAAAAAAAAAAAAAACAAAGAATAAAAAAACCCTCAAGTAAAAATTACAGGAATTTACACGTGCAAACACAGTAATCTTGGTTGACTCGCCAATGAGAAAAGTTAAATTTTACGGGTTATCATACAAAGTGAAATTTACTAGGGCCTAAAGTGAAAATAACTTAACACTCAGAAAAACGTACATTCAAGAGTACTTCTACAACAACAACAACAAAAAAAAAAAAGACGTAAATAAAAACTTACGATTTGTTCTATATAAAACAGTACTTATCTTTCATTGTAGCCTTGATAAGGAGCGAACCGGGGTTACACAGATATGCGAGGAGATCACATGGACACAGAGAATGTCAAATTATATTGACAAACATTTTTACTTTTATTTTATCTGTTTTAGTGGGAAGAATTTTGATTTCGTTTGTTAATGAACCAATCTCTCCCGCCTTCTCATTGGACGAATGTGGCCATGTTTGTATATAAGAGGGAGCTAAGGGAATGCGAGAGGCCAGTGTGGTTGATCATTGTGTGGAGACACTTAAAATGTTCTCTGCGTGCTTTATCCGTGTCTGGTGATCTCCTCGCATACCTGTGTGACCCCGGTCCGATCCCTACCAACACTACAATAAAAGATAAGTACTGTTTTGTTTTTATATAGCAAATCGTACGTTTCTTTTTTTTTTTGCTTCTTTTTATTGTTGGTGTTGTACTCTTGAGTGTACACTTTTCTGTGTGTTAAGTTACTATTACTTTAGGCCCTAGCAATTTGCAACTTTGTTTGTTATCCCGTAAATAGTAAATTTTGTTACATTAGTATTGTAAGTTCACTATCTATAATAGATAACAGACTGTTACTGATACCACAAGGTTGGTCTTGACAAAGGTTACTAATATGGGTTATCACACAAAATGCAATATACTAGGGCCTAAAGTAAGAGTAACCTAATACACAGAAAAGCGTACACTCAAGAGTACAACACCAACAACAAAAGGAAGTTTTTTATACAATATAATGCGGCTTATGATTGTAGAACGACATTTGAAAATTATCCCGCATGTGTTTCTTTTGAACGATAAATCCAAATTTATTTTAAGGAGAAAAAAAAACGATTATTTCTAACCTTAGGGATGAAGTATGAAAGGATGAATTGTGAAGAGTAATGATAAACGTAAAAATAAAAGTGTCCAGGGATGGGAATCGAACCTAACAGCGTTCCGCTTACCGGGCAGATGCCATGTCCACTAGGCTACCCTGGACCTATTTTTCCGTTCGTAAATATTATATATATAAATAAAAACTCACGATTTGTTGTATAAAAACAAAACAGTACTTATCTTTTATTGTAGCGTTGGTAGGGATCGGACCGAGGTCACACAGATATGCGAGGAGATCCCCAGACACGGATAAAGCACGCAGAAAACACTTTGTCTCCACACGATAATCTACCAAACTGGCCTCTCGCATTCCAATTTTAGTATATGTACCGCCGAACAAGCTAGTACATCGGTCTCTCGCATTACCTTAGCCCCCTCTTATATACAAACATGGCCACATTCGTCCAATAAGAAGGCGTGAGAGATTGACAAAAGTTACTATTACGGGTTACCACACAAAAATGGAATATACTAGGGCCTAAAGTAAATGTAACTTAATACACAGCGTACACTCAAGAGTACAACACCAACAACAAGAAGGAATTAAGTAAAACTCACGATTGGTAAAATAAAACAAAACAGTACTTATCTTTATTGTAGCGTTGGTAGGGATCGGACTCGGGTCAGACCGGGATGCGAAGAGATCCCCAGACACGGAAAAATCACGTAGGAAAACACTTTAAGCGTCTCCACACCAATTCTCCACGCTCTGGGCCCCTTCTCATTCCCTTAGTCCCCTCTTATATACAGACATGGCCACATTCGTCCAATGAGAAGGCGTGAGAGATTGGTTCACTAACAAACGAAGACAACATTCTCCCCACTAAAAAGTGCAAATGTTTGTCAATATAATTTGACAGTCTTGGTACTTTTGAATTCCAGGTAGTGGCATCAGGATCCTGGATTTAACATCCATCTAACCTTTGATTCCGATAATATAAGGTTGTCCTAAAAGTTCATAAACATATTATGATTTATATTTTACAAGTGTTCATGAACTTTTGGGACAACCTTGTAATTCTGAAACTAGGCCCACCTACTGATTGGCCACCCTTGATGTAGAACATCAGAGATTAAATCATTCTTCTATAAGAATTCTGTGAAAAATTTACCAAAGTTATTAATATTACCTTGAACAAAACACTACAAAGGGATGACAATACATCCAGATGGCACAAGAACCTATAGGATATGTAACAACTGTCCTGGTGTGGAACTAACACCTACTTACATATTCTCATGTCCAGCAATGGCCGCAGCCTTGCAGAAAATTGACATAGACCCAGAGCAGCAGCTTTACACACCCAAGATAGAGGACATTGCTGCTGCTGTGATGGAGATGCATGGAGACATCTGAGGCTCTTCATTGGACACAACAACAACAGAAAATTGACATGGACCTAGAACAGCAGCTTTACACACCCAAGATAGAGGGCATTGCTGCTGCTGTGATAGAGATGCATGGAGACATCTGAGGCTCTTCATTGGACACAACAACAACAGAAAATTGACATGGACCTAGAACAGCAGCTTTACACACCCAAGATAGTGGGCATTGCTGCTGCTGTGATGGAGATGCATGGAGACATCTGAGGCTCTTCATTGGACACGACAACAACAACAGAAAATTGACATGGACCCAGAGCAGCAGCTTTACACACCCAAGATAGAGGACATTGCGACTGCTGTGATAGAGATGTATGGAGACATCTGAGGTTCTTCATTGGACACGACAATAACATCAATATTACCAAGGTTGTCCCAAAGGTTCGTAAAAACTTTCAAAATATAAATTATAATCATAATATGTTTACGAACATTTGGGAAAACCTTGTATATAGATAAGCAAGAGGCATAACTTTGCTTTGGCACACTAGTAAAAAGAAATGCTATTATATGATATTTTACAAGGTATGATGCCCAGAATTTATTAAAGACGTTGTTGTGTTCAATGAAGAGCCTCAGATGTCTCCATACATCTCTATCACAGCAGCAGCAATGTCCTCTATCTTGGGTGTGTAAAGCTGCTGTTCTGGGTCCATGTCAATTCCAATTAAAGAGGTAGTAGGCGTATTTAAATGATTGATATGTTATCTCAGACCGTGGGTAATAATACCAAGTAAAACAGAAAACCATTATCCCAACAGAATAAGGAAACAAAGAAAATAACTGCAGAATCTGCTTTTTTTAAGAAGGAAAATAGAAGTAATTAATTTGCAATCTAGTAAGTTCATAAAAATAAAAGATCATACACACGGATAACTATAAAAATAACTTCATTTTACTAACAAAAAAAGTATTTTAATTCTACACCAACAAAAGAAGTGAAAAAAAAAAAAAAAAAAAACAGACGATGCTAAAAAACGCGACAGCAAACGATCGAAAACGAAGCCAGGCGGTTGAGTCAAAAGAACGCCAATATCGTCGTCTGCTTCATTATTATGCCCAAGATGTCGTCGAGCATCCTCCGTGCGCATGCGTAGAATCAGCCAATAGAGATGCGACCCGCCCTAATCGCATATTCGGGCCGTCGCCAAGCTGCCTCTATGGTTGGAATGGAATGTCTGACACCATTAGAAGGCCATTTCTCCATTGTGGTATGTAAATTTATTTATTTACTTTTTCACATATTGATATTATTTACATAGTTACCATTATATTGAGTTGTAAAGAAAGTTCGTCCGGTTTTATTCGACAATTTTATTTAGACAAAAACACATTAATTATAACAATTAATTAATCAATTATGTATTCTCTGTTATTATTTACGACCTCTTCCCAACGTTCAACTAGTTTGTTGATTTCGTTCCCCCAAAAATCGACCGGTTTAGTGTCGAAGAAGTTGTTGAGTCAGGTTTTGAGGTCCTCTTCATCATCAAAGGTAGTGCCTCATATGGTTTGACATGGAGCGGAAAAGGTGTTAATCGGTTGGTGCAAGGTCCGGAGAGTACGGCGGGTGCAGTAGAACTTCCCATTCGAGCTCTTGAAGGTCGGCTTTGACGACTTGTGTAACATGCGGCCTATAATCCTTGATCGTAGTATTTAAAAATGCATGTAATTTTTTTATTTATTTTTTGAAAAACTACAGTCTAACTTCTAATGAGCAGTTGCCTAAAACATGGGTAACCCAGGACTCTCTTAGAAGTGTTCTTTTATTAGAAGTTAGGGTAGGTCATTTCAAGAAAGTTTTTTTTTTAAGACTGCTATCGCTCTTCAGCACGCTGGGTTGTTACATGACGAAAAATACTGTAACCCGAAAAAAAAAGCAATGACGGTTAGCACTCCCCTTGACAAGGATGGAATGGTCTTCGGACCCAACACATATACAGTTAGCACTCCCCTTGACAAGGATGGAATGGTCTTCGGACCCAACACATATACAGTTAGCACTCCCCTTGACAAGGATGGAATAGTCTTCGGACCCAACACATATACAGTTAGCACTCCCCTTGACAAGGATGGAATGGTCTTCGGACCCAACACATATACAGTTAGCACTCCCCTTGACAAGGATGGAATGGTCTTCGGACCCAACACATATACGGTTATCACTCCCCTTGACAAGGATGGAATGGTCTTCGGACCCAACATATATACAGTTAGCACTCCCCTTGACAAGGATGGAATGGTCTTCGGACCCAACATATATACAGTTAGCACTCCCCTTGACAAGGATGGAATGGTCTTCGGACCCAATACATATACAGTTAGCACTCCCCTTGACAAGGATGGAATGGTCTTCGGACCCAACACATACAGTTAGCACTCCCCTTGACAAGGATGGAATGGTCTTCGGACCCAACATATATACAGTTAGCACTCCCCTTGACAAGGATTGAATGGTTTTTTACCCAACACATATACAGTTAGCACTCCCCTTGACAAGGATGGAATAGTCTTCGGACCCAACACATACAGTTAGCACTACCCTTGACAAGGATGGAATGGTCTTCGGACCCAACACATATACAGTTAGCACTACCCTTGACAAGGATGGAATGGTCTTCGGACCCAACACATATACAGTTAGCACTACCCTTGACAAAGATGAAATGGTCTTCGGACCCAACAGATATACAGTTAGCACTCCCCTTGACAAGGATTGAATGTTTTTTTACCCAACACATATACAGTTAGCACTCCCCTTGACAAAGATGAAATGGTCTTCGGACCCAACACATATACAGTTAGCACTACCCTTGACAAGGATGGAATGGTCTTCGGACCCAACACATATACAGTTAGCACTACCCTTGACAAGGATGGAATGGTCTTCGGACCCAACACATATACAGTTAGCACTCCCCTTGACAAGGATGGAATGGTCTTCGGACCCAACACATATACAGTTAGCACTCCCCTTGAAAAGGATGGAATGGTCTTCGGACCCAACACATATACAGTTAGCACTCCCCTTGACAAGGATGGAATGGTCTTCGGACCCAACACATATACAGTTAGCACTCCCCTTGACAAGGATGGAATGGTCTTCGGACCCAACATATATACAGTTAGCACTCCCCTTGACAAGGATGGAATGGTCTTCGGACCCAACATATATACAGTTAGCACTCCCCTTGACAAGGATGGAATGGTCTTCGGACCCAACACATATACAGTTAGCACTCCCCTTGACAAGGATGGAATGGTCTTCGGACCCAACATATATACAGTTAGCACTCCCCTTGACAAGGATGGAATGGTCTTCGGACCCAACATATATACAGTTAGCACTCCCCTTGACAAGGATGGAAAAGGTCTTCGGACCCAACAGATATACAGTTAGCACTCCCCTTGACAAGGATGGAATGGTCTTCGGACCCAACACATATACAGTTAGCACTCCCCTTGACAAGGATGGAATGGTCTTCGGACCCAACACATATACAGTTAGCACTCCCCTTGACAAGGATGGAATGGTCTTCGGACCTAACACATATACAGTTAGCACTCCCCTTGACAATGAAGGATAAAAGAGTTGTGGCGTTATATTTTGGAATATTATGGGTTGTTGATAGCTAATATATACTTGTATATTTATCTGTAATTGTAGGTTATCTGTGTAGGTATTTAGAAAATCGATATTTGACCAAATTCTACTC